AAATGAGCCAAAATTTGTTGGATCAATAACACGGATTAATATTTGGAAGCGTGCAATTGATTTTGAAGCTGAAATTCCATCAATTGTTCATCAATGTCAACAAAAGCAGGTAATTTTATGATTTATTTAAAAATTTACGCAACTTTTTTTGAATGATAATAATTAATCCATTTATCTCATGATATGTTGATAATGTGATAATCTTACTAATAATAATAGCATATAATAAAGATTTGTATCATTTATTTTTATAGGTTATCTATGATGATCTTATCTTACGTTTTGCTGGATACACTCGACTTTCTGGAAAAGTTGAAAAAGTGGTGAGAAGTACTTGTGGACGAGATTATAGTCGTCAATCTATCAAGAAAATGGAAGTTCACGGTTGTCCGTCGGATATTTTTGTTATTTCATATCAAAAAGAGGTTAACATTAACACTGAATACTTTATAAACTGATGAAATATTTTCTTATTACTGTGAAATATTTGAATTTTACGTGAAATTTTCAAATTTTTGCTAAAATTGTGTTTAAATTTTAAAATAAATTTTATCCTGCTTATATTAATTCTCATTGGATTCCTTGAAAATTTTAAACTTTAGATAAATATCACATGGCAAGAACCAGTATTTACATCAATCAATGGATATGTAGATGTTAAAAGAAATCTAAAACCTGGTCAGGTATTTACATGGGGAGAATATCTTGTGGTTTATCTTGCTAAAGATGATCATTCTATGGCTGATTGCATCTTTAAGGTTAATATCCATTGAAATTTTAAATCATTTCAATTTGTATTAATTAATCAAAAAGATGAGATATTTCAAATTTCAATTTGTATATTAAATTAATCAAAAAGATGAAATGAAAATAAAAAACTAATATTCATATAATTTAATGATACAATTATTTGTTGCTAAATTTGATTTTGTTATTAAATATTTTGAAAAATTCATATTAATTATTTAATTTTTAGATTTATGTATTGCGTGAATTTTGTCCTACATTACAAGATCCATTACATGGTATCCAGGCTTGTGAATCATGGGGTCCACAGTTACGTTATAAGGCATGTTCCATTGAATGTGAAAATGGTTATGAATTTAGCATTGAACCACCAATTTTCTATACCTGTTCTTCAGATGGTCATTGGAGACCACGACCTATGAATGCATACACATTCCGTTATCCACAATGTACTAAGTGAGCTATAACTAAATATTATTTCTTTTTTTTTTTTGTTTCATTTAACTTATCATATTTCTCATAATATTTGAAATTATCAAATTTTCACTTTTGACACATCATTTTGATGTTTAAATTTCATCTTTAAAATAGATTCATTGATTTTTAGAGCACATCCTGCTGTACGTGTTGCTGAAGTGTCCATCAATTATCCTACCGTATCAATATGTAATGCAGCAGGACGAAATACATTAGCTGAAAAACTTTCTCAACGAATTGAATTATTAAATAGCAAATGGAATATCTATTCTATTAGGTTTTTAATATTTATATATGTTAATTTTAAATTTTCAACTTTAATTTGCTATTTGTTTTTTTTTTTAATTTTATCCGATTTTTTTTTCTCTCAAATACGTACAAATTACAATCTTTTCTTTTTTTTTGGAGATTTCATTATGCAGTACAAATTTATAGTATCGTTTAAAATATTATTTTCAGTAATATAAGTGATTATTCAACTTTTAACATATCGGTGCAATGTTTTCCTGGAAATGAAGAAACTACCGTAACAGCAGCTGATACAAATTTAAGATTACGTCGTGAAGCGCAAAATTTTTTCAACGTGAAAGTTTCCATACCAATTACAAAGTATGCATGCATTTTTAAAATCGATACAAATTTGTTAAATTCTGTTAAAAATAACGCCAATTGATTCATCATAAGTAAAAAAAAAAAATTTATCTTGTAAAATCTAAGCTAAATTTTAGTGATGTTTTGGAGAATCGTAAAACAGGACAACGAGCAAAAGTATCAGATGTATTAGAGAGTGAAATTCTACTGGAAGATATATTTAGTTTGGAACAGGTAAGTATTATAAGATCAAAAATTGAATAACTAACAAATGAATTATTGCATATTCATAAAATTATGCTTAATGTGTTCGGTATAAAAACGATTCGGTTATTTGATATATTAAGTAAACAAACAGTCTTACTAATCATAATGGATGTTTTTTTGAGCAATAAAAAATTTACAACACTGTTCAATTGAGTTAACAAAATATTTAACTCAAATACTTTTTCAGGTAATCCCAAATGGTCGACCGGATTTGAATAGTTTCGAATTGAAAGAACGGCATATCTGTGAAGTAGGAACTGTTAACCGTCGTAATCTATGCGGTAAGTACTGATAATTAGTAAGCATCAATTGTTTCATCAATGAAATGAAATGAGCTCTTATTAAAATAAATAATTTGTTAAATCCGGCAAAATTTTCAAACTCACAACATATCAATCTTTTTTGTTTTTATTAATTTTAAAAAAGTTTAATTTTAATCTTTTAATATTTCAAATTTATAGTACCATGTGCACCGGGTTCATTTTATGACCTGACAACACGTACTTGCAAATTATGCATGACTGATGAATATCAACCTCGTGCAGCACAAACCTCTTGCTTACCCTGTCCTCGAGGATATATTACAACTGCTCCTGGTTCATCACTTTTAACAGATTGTAAAAGTATGGGTTTTAAATTTTAATATTAAAAGATAAATCAATCTTTTTTATTTGTATGATACTTCTAATATGAGATTTTGTTTTTATAAATTTTTAATTATAAATATCA